AATTTATAAAAAGCACTGCTAATGATGAATGGCTTTACAAAAAAAAAAATTACATTTGAAAGTACCCTCACTCGTTTTATAAACTTTCAGTGAATGCTTATTATAAATGAAGGAAGAAAGAAAAAATATAAACCCCCCCTTTTCTCAAGAGTTTGCAATCTAGAAAAAACATATAAGCTTCAATTAAAAATTATCCATTAAAGAAACACTACAATGTAGGCAAAACTGATGGTATGACAAAGGAAAGCTAAGGCATCTGCATTTTAAAGTGAGTAATACATATTATATTATAGGAATATTAACCACTAATATCAAATTTATTAGCTAGGTTTTTAACTTATCTGCTAACAACAGAGTCTCACAGTTAAAACAAAACAGGAATTTAAATTTTAGTAGGGAACTTATAGAAGCCCTGTAGGGTCAGAGACACAAATTTAAAAGAAGCCACAAATTAACCTAACTATATCTATACACTTCTCCAGGAGAATTAAGACTTCTAGTGGTATTTCACACTTCTGAAACTAAGAACCTAGAATAATCAGAAACTCCTACTGCCACTTTTGCCAAGATATAAAGTCTCCTATCTCAGACTGCTGCTTGTGTTGTCTATACAGTTTCATGTAAGAAATATAGACCTGATCACATGCCCTCACCTTAGATATGAGTGGGTGTGAGAATTTAAAATTTTTGGCATTTGTCAGGAACGTCAAGATTTGTGTGGGAAAATAGCAAAAGTCTGGAAACCTATAAAAAAAATGCAGGTGACTATACTTACACTGCTATTTTTTTTATTTTAAAGGAAGATGATTTTTAATTATTCTTCAACAACTAGATAATCCAGAAGAAATAGACAATTTTTAACTCTACAGTCCACTGAGGCTGGTTACTGAAGAATTGTACATCTGATTATATCACTGACCTGTAAAGGGATTGAATCAATAATAAAATCATACAGCCCTCTGCTGTTCTGTCTATGTTACTATTATGAGACATAAAACAAAATAGAATTCAAATGGCTATCTCTTTAAAGAAATGTATTATTGCTCTAGATCAGCAGTTGTCAACCTGTATATCGTGACCTCTTTTGGGGGTCAAAGCACTGCTATTTTTTTGTTGGAGAATTTCAAAATAGATTATAAAGTCAGAATTTTTATTTTACAAAAATATAGAAACCACTTACTGTTTTAGTTATGGTGATTTCCAAATCAAAAGATGAGTTAGTTTATATGGGTATGTGAAACAATGACTATTAAAGGATACAGTTTTTGGTAATCTAAACATTAAATTTTATAAAAGGCAATTGTGAGAATATTTTTAATACAATTAAGGTATCAAAACTACTATCTGATAATGTCACATTGTATACTGAGTAAGATAGTGCATGCCTGAGATCTCAACACTTGTCCCATAAGATAAAGAAACTAAGACAAAGGAGCACACAAAAAATAATAAAAATCCAGAATTTATGTAGAGAGTCAGTATGTCCTTTTAACACATTTTATTTTCTGAAAGTATTATATACTTTTTTGTTCAATAAATGAGGTCTACACAATGTATTCTTTCCTTAAACAGGGTCAACTGCAATCTCACGTGCTTGCCCAGCAAGCACTTCAACCACTAAGGCTTCTCCCAAGCCCAATTCTGGTTTTAGGAGACAGGACCTGATATAGACCATGCTGACCCTCAAACTCCCTAGGTGGCCAACTCCTGATCTTCTAAGTGCTGAGATTAAAGGTATGCACCACCATACCCAGCTAATTTGTACAATAATGAGTTGTTTTTAAAATTAAAAAATCACAAGTAAGTCAGGCGATGGTGGCACACCCCTTTAATCCCAGCACTTGGGGAGCAGAGGCAGGTAGATCTCTCTCTCTGTGAGTTCAAGGCCAGCCTGGTCTACAGAGTTAGTTCTAGGGCAGCCAAGGCTACACAAAGAAACCCAGTCTCAAAAAAAAAAAATTACAAATATGTAGTAACATTTTACTTTAGATGAAGCATAATCAGATAGAATTAATAAACAGACAAAAGGTCACGACACTATGTAACTACAAATTTCTACATAATTACAAGTTAAAATGATTTATAATACAAAATATTGCTGAGAGAAATTAAAGAAAACAATTACGCAGAAGTTAACCAGTAATAGCCATGCAATATTAATCAAAATCCCCTCAGACTTATTTTTGGAAAGAAATTTACAGTATTCTAAAATTACATGGAAAAGAAAAGGTCATAGTACAGACAAATTTGAAAATAATAAAAATAAAGTTGGAAGACTCACTTAAATTTCAAAGCTTACTATATAAAGCCTTATATAAACTCAAATAGTACTCTACAACAGTATCAAATAAAGTAGTCATCAAATTAAGGCAGTCGTAGCATAAATGTATCTATACATAAGTGAGTTCAGAGTGACTCATAAATACATGTTCAATTAACTTCAATAAAGAGAATTCAGTACAAAAAGGATAGGTTGTTTTTTGTTTTTCACAATAAGTGATATTGGCATAACTGGCTACCAGTAATGGAAACATTAGTTTTATCCTTTTCTCACATTACACACAAAAGTTAGTTTCAATTAGGTACTGAATAATCATAAAAACAGAAACACAGAAATACTGGAGGAAAAAATTTCATAACCCCAGTTATGTTACAATTTCCTATACAAGTCACAAAAAGCCCATTTAAAAAAAAAAACCAATCAACTGAATGTCAAAGGTAAGAATTTCTTCTTGAAAAACACTGAAAACAGAACACAGTTTTTTTGTTTTTGTTTTTCAAGACTCAATTTCAATTTAACAGTTTTGGCTGTCTTGGAACTCGTTCTGTAGACCAGGCTGACCTCAAACTCACAGAGATTCAACTCCCTCTGCCTCCTGAGAACTGGGATTAAATATATGTGCCAAAACTGCCTGGCAGGACACATTTTTGAAGAAGCATCTGCAAGTCATATTTACCTGGCAAAGGACTTGTATCTTGAATACATAAAGAATTATTGCAATTAAACAAGAAAACATATAAGAGTTGGGTGCAGTGGTACACGGGCCATTGAATGGACAATGTTCTTCCATGGCTTATTCTCCTATGTTTATTTGTGGCAAAGGTAATATAAATACATGTATGGCTGAAAAAAAAAGATGATTTGGGACTGACTAGCTTCCTACTATACATTCTCACTTGGATGCTTAAACATTTATCACCATCTCAATCCCTTCATTTTTAGACAATTTTTAGTTCCTTCCCTTTCAGCTCAAATTTTCAAACTTACAGTTTCGTTTCAGCTGCTTTAAAAATCACTGCTTCGGAGGACAGGCCCAAGAGCCACCCAAAAACTGTGTGACTTTAGGCAAACCGCTTTCTCTGGACTCATGATACAGTCTGACTATACACGTTGAGAGCTACGCCTGTCTCAGGAAATAAATACTACACTCAGAAGCTTTCTTCCGTGTCACAACAGTGCCATGCCTACTGTGTGTGGCTATGTGTGCCTTAGCTCCTGAGTATGAGAATTAAAGGCAAGTGCCACCGCACCCAGCTGTGCTCCATTTTTCATTCTTCCCTTCCTCTACTTATATCAAGGAAGGCTTTAAGTCTGATGCCTCTTCCCAGAACAATTTCTATTTCTGGTAACTAGTAATAGACGTGTCTTCTTCCATAAGCCTTTCAATTTTTTGGTTCCTCCCATTCTAATCAATTATGTACTATTATCAGGTTAATTTTAATTCTTTCCCAAAATTCCCATTTCCTATAGCAGAAAAATTCTGAGGTGCTGAACAGGGGAAAAATGTGTTTCATAGTTATTTCCCAAATTAATCACTGCTATAAAAAGTATGATTGCTTAAGTATCATGGCTGAGTTTTAGCCGTACAATTATCAAGCAAGTTACATTTATTAATATAAGAGCAACAAAATGTTTTAAGTTGCCTTCAACTAGTATTAGCAAATCCTAATTATATCAGCAAACATTCTTTGCATAGTCTGAGATTTGATCTGGTGTAAAATCACTAGTAAATTACAGAAACTCGAGTTTCACTTACTTCTTGGGGCTCTACTTGCCTTTTGTTTTTTTTGTTTTGTTTTGTTTTTTTTTTTTTTGGTTTTTCGAGACAGGGTTTCTCTGTGTAGCTTTGCGCCTTTCCTGGAACTCACTTGGTAGCCCAGGCTGGCCTCGAACTCACAGAGATCCGCCGGCCTCTGCCTCCCGAGTGCTGGGATTAAAGGCGTGCACCACCACTGCCCGGCTACTTGCCTTTTGTTACACATAAAATGTTTATAAGGCCATCACTCTATGTTCGTGGGCACACAAATGTACCACTAATTGAGTACAAGACATTTTTTGAAGAGTCTAAAACAAGCAGTTATCCAAGGAGTTAATAATATTACTGCAGGAAATGGCAGAGATGTATTTATGTCATTCTTTTTTTTTATAATCTAAACTTAATTTTTTATTTTATGTGTATGGGTGTTTTGACCCCATGTATGGACATCACATACATGCCTGGTACCCTCTGAGGCCAGAGGGCATTGGATTCCCTGGAACTAGAATTAAACAGTTGTGAGCTAAGATGGGAACTGAACTTGGATCTTCTGTGGATGTAGCAAGTGCTTCTAGCCCCTATTGTCATTCCTAACATCATTATTTCTGGAGTTGATAATAATTTAATGGTGTGTGATTCTATTCTAAAAACACAAGTGTATATAAAAATTGCTATAATTTCAAGTTCCCTTGGGAATATTTCTAGAAAACTTGAAAATCTTTCATAAAAATTATTTTTGTATACTGTCAAAATAATGTTTTAAAATTTAAAACTATACTTTAAAATAAATTTCACTATGACTCATTAACAATTCATATTTTGTTAACAGTGCATTACTATTAAACCTATTCAATACGGATTACTACTAAAATGGGACCAAAAATGTGGTACTGGCATATAAATGCAGCTATTCTCTAAAAAGTAATTCTTAGAAATCTGAACATTCAACATTTTAACATTTACCTTTTTTCTTCTTTTGCTCTCAGCTGTTCTTCCTGTCTCAAAACTTGAACCATTATAGACTCAAAAACTCCACTTGTCAAACCTGCCAAACTTCGAGGTGTTGACCGGCGCCTTGTTGAAGTACATGCAGTTCCCTTCTCCTCCTCCAATCCATAATAGCCTCTAGATGTAACTGCTATCGTTGTCTTTTCTCTCAAGTGCCTTGGAGAAGAATAAGTCAGTTCACAAGGTCAAATCTTCTGGATAAGCAACACACCCTTTCACTAGTACCTTAAGTAGAAGTTCTTTTGCTGACTACTACAAAATATTTAGTTAAACCTTTCTTTGCCACATTCCAGGGTTTTATCTGTTCCACACAAAATTCTAACTTCTTTCATATAAAATTCACTGAGGGATAGTCCTTCCTCTATATTTAAAAAATATAAGCATGAAGCATTAAAATTACGGACTAAAACACCAATTCTATTAATAAACATCAATAGAAAGCTTTTGTTTGCATTAGGTATCATACTGTTTCACTGATGTATGAGAAAATATACAATGATATAAAAACATTTTGGGAAAAAAGATTTTGATATATAAATAGTTTGGGGAAATTATAAATAAGGACAGCATTATAATATATAGCAATTATATTACATGGGCCCAGAGAGTGAGGAATTATAAGGCCCAAGGAAAACAGCTGCCTAGCAATAACAAACCCTGAAGAGATGAAGTAGAGGCTTGTTTAAATGTGTTTTTACTAAGTGATCTAACTATGTAACATTAATTGCTTTATCAGTACTAATGAAAGAGAATATATTATAAAAATATGAATGAACAATGTAATCTATCTTCTAACTGAACAGATTCAGATTCAGAATTTAGAACTCTAGAATTCCTCTTCAATCTCAATGCAAATGTGTCCTTCATGATATTTTTATTAACTCACTGAGATACTGGTCTAATGCTTAAAAATAGTATCCCAGCAGTTCACTCAATTGTGCACAAATCACTTTAATGAATTTGAAATAATTAAAAATATTTGTAATAGACCTAAGGATGCAGCTCAGAGGTAGCAAACATAAGACCCAAAGATTGATCTAAGTACTGAAAAAAAAAAGTCAGTAAAAACATATTTACACTAGAAAAGGAAGCATTACACTGACCTTGCAAAGTTGTAAAAGCTAGTCCAACTATTGATTTCTAGGTCTGTATCTATTATACAAACAGTAATTGTAATAAAACAAATCAGGGAAAATACCTCTTTTTCTACCTTTGTAAGATATGCCAAATCCTCTGAAAATTCATACATAATTTCTATTACTAGTACTACTACTACTACTACTACTACTACTACTACTACTACTACTACTACTACTACTTCAACTACATATATAGTGTTCTGCCTGCACATATGCCTGCATACCAGAAGAGGGCACCAGATCTCATTACAGATAGTTGTAAGTCACCATGTGGGTGCTGAGAACTGAACTCAGGACCTCTGGAAGAGCAGCCAGTGCTCGTGACCTCGGAGCCATCTCTCCAGGCCCCTCATACATTATTTCTACAATGGCAAACTCAAAGTCCGTTTGAAAGGCAATTACTCAAACTACTGCATAATAATTTATATGAGGATTTTCCTCCCTTGGAGCCCTTTCCACTCTTGGATGTTCTTTTCTTACTTTTCCTTAATAAATCTACATTCCCTCTGTTTAAACAAACCACACATGCAAAAAAAAAAAAAAAAGAATTTATATGACTTAAATGTTGACTATGGCTATATTTCCCTGCTTCCCTAAAAACTGTCAAAAAGTTCACTGAAACATAAAACTTTACACTATGAGATACAAACTCCTTCCTTTCTTAAACTGTGTCCACATCAGTTTATGATTATAAATTAGGATAACTTATCAATTTTATCTTCACTGGCATCTGGATCCCATGAATAGTCTACTAAATTATTGTACTACTGTTTTGTTTTCTGTTACAAGGAGATGGCACTGATTTATAGCTTCTCACAGGATAAGAACATTAGTTTTCTAATAAAGAATTTGGGCTCATTTGGTGTGCTATTTCAGGCTGCTGTTACCACTTTTTAAAATTAGTTTTTTAATTAAAAATTTATATTTATTGTGTACTGGGGGGCGCACATGCCAGACTATGCCTGTAGAGATTGGAGGATTGCTTTCAAGTGTCAGGACATTTTTTCTACCTTTAAACAAAATTTTACATTTATTTCCTTATTGTCTGTGTACACAGACAGGTATATGTGGAGATCAGAGGACAACTTGGGGAAGTTGGTTCTTTCCTTCCACCATAGGAGTTCCAAGGAACGAACTCTGGTTATTAGACTTGTAGCAAGTACCTTTACCTGCTGAGCCATCTCCAAGGCCCAGATTATATTAATTAACATATCAGAGAATATAAACCATTCATCTAAAAGACCAGGTATGTGTATATGCACTCATTGAAAAAGACATCATTATACGCTAAGTGTAAAATTAACCTACAAACACCACAAATATAAATGACATCTAGAAGTACGTGTGCTTATATATACATGAGTCCCAACTCTTAACCTAGATTACTACAAATGCTTCATGACAAGGCTTTTTCCTTTCATTCTGCTCTATTGATACAGAAACCTGTGCAGTACTTTTAAAAGCTGCTTGGAATATGTCATTACCTTGCTGTCTCCCCCAAAATCTTCCAGTCACACTTAGAGCACATATGACATTCTTATAACCTCTAAGACCTAGTGTGATATGGTCCTTACCTCCTTAAGGCCTCCCTTTCTAAGTCTTTGTTCTCTGCATTCCAGCCATTCTTCCATCTATTCTCAAGCTAAACCAACACATCTACTTCCCTAGAATTTTGTGCTCCATTCTTCTTCCATAAAAATACTCTTTTGCAGATATTCATGTGTAGGTCTGTCATTTCAACCATGTTTCAATTGCCACCAAATCTGAGAGGGTTTTCTCTGATTGTGATATTTAATAACAGCTCCCCTATCACTCTATGCCCTTATATTGGTTTCTTTGTCTTTTACTTATCACCACACTGTTTTAATCAGCATTTATTTAAAACTGTCTATGCGCCCCCCAGACCCAGCCCCCTAAAAAAGTTCAGGGATCTGTGCCATATAGGAGGCGAAAAGACTGTAAGGGCCAGAGGTGATAGATGACTCCAAGGAAACGGTCTTTGAGACACAACAAGACTGAAGCAGGCATAAACTCAGAGAGACTGCGGCAGCACACACAAGGCCCACACAGGCTCAATTCAGACGGGGTCCCAGCACTGAGAGTAAAATTGAACATGGGATCACACTCAACCAAGAAACTATCTGCAACTGATAGCTGTTAGCACTTCAGGGTAGGTCCCATGCCCAAGAGAAGTTAGCCAACACAAAACAGATTCAATAGTATTTTTTCCACAGACTTTTTGTCTCATTTTGCTTTGTTTGGGCATTTTTTGTATTATGGTCTTTTGCTTGTATAATTTAGTTTCCGTTTTTGTATGGGTTTTATGTGTGTGTCTGTTTCTTGATTTCCTTTATTTTTTTTAAAGAGAAAGGGAGGAAAAAAGAACATAAAATTGTGTTTGTAGGGAGGTGGGAAGGATCTGGAAGAAGATAAACATGATCAAAATATATTGCATGAAAAAACTTTCAATTAAAAAATAATTATTTATCCCGCAACCAGAAGGAAAGAGCGAGGAACATAAGGGACCTGTCTCCCCTTATTGACTGTACTTTCTGATTCTGAACTATAGGATGTATACATGTGTACATGTGTGTGCATGCATTTTTTAAATATCTTTGAAAGCATACGAGTCAAAATGTTTCACATTTTTCAGTTACAAGTAAATTTAAAACTCCAATCGATGTATTTGTCCATAGTAAGAGTCCTGATTAAACATGTTATTTGGTTTTTATTCATTAGAGAATAAAATGCCATGAAGTAAAATTAAAAAACTCACCTCACCTCCAATCAGAAGTGTCACATATCTAGGACTATATAAACACACTAAAATAAGTCTTCCCTTAAAAAACAAACAAAACCAACAAAGAAAACCCAAGCTCTTTTCTTCCTATGAGGAAAATTATTCCACTAAATCAATGTCAGTAGTTTGAAAATAATATACTGCCAACTATACACAAAACCTTGGCAATAATTATAGGTGACTCACTGAGTTTTTGTCATCATTCTATTGGTTTGTTTTCCTTTAAATCATAAAATGTCTATGCTAACACATTCTGAATTTCAGAATTCAGACACTAAATTCTACTTACAATTACTGAAACAAGTATTAACAAGAAGCAAATTGACGGTAAGTAATCAATACTTAAAACTAATATAAAATATACTTTATATTTACTTATAATCAATACAAACAGATACTGCCTCCTATTAAAAACAAGTATTTAGGAATGTTTCCATTATTATGTGAGGACTTTTTGGCTGATATTATTAAAGCAATATGAAGGTCATTAATAGTACAACTATTTGTATGGAAGTAAAGCTCAAAAGTAGAGAACATATTTAGCATGCACAAGGCCCTGTGCTCAATACCACACACACACACACACACACACACACACACACACACACACACACACACACTCTGCAATTATAACCTAGAAATAAAAAATTACCTAATCTGTTTAATATTCTAAGTGAAAAGTTTCACTTTGTTAAAAGTTCATTTAAAAAAAACATTAAAATTCAACTACAACCCTACAAGCCCCAAGGTCCTAGAAGAAAGGACACGTAAAAGACAGTGAGTGGTAACTAATGCAGGGACTATGTACAGATGTGCACGCAAGGCTAAGAGAAGCTAGGAAGAAACGAAGTGTTCCTGGATCAGCCATAACAAGGAGTTACTCCCACTCTAAGCCTAAAAGAGGAAGAGAAGGGACCGGGGACTAGTTATTAGACCAAGAGAGCTATAACTAAAGAAGAGAACCACACAATGACTGAGCACAGTTACTGACAACCTGCAGGCCAGGAAAGAAGAAGATGTTAAAGGAAATACTCCTACCTCTCGGTCCTCCTGTCAGTGCCTTCCATTGGCTGAACCCAATCAGAAGTCAGGGGACAAGGCAGACCAGTTGATGCAGTCCTTAGAAATCAGCCTCCTGGGGCACAGAGCAGAGTATACAAGGGTGGAGAACGCATTTGGAGAAGCATATGATGACTAACAGCACAGCACAACCTGAG